GCAGTGATTCATGGAGGTATCGCACTGCTCTGCCTCCCTTGCTGCTGTCTTGGCTCACTGCATTCATTTCCCTCCTATTTTCTGCAAACCAGACATACCACACAACAAATTCTGTTCCAAATGTCTCCTCATTTTTCCTTATCCAGAAGGTAGTTTAAAATCACAAGTGGAAAGGACATGTCACTTGAAGCCACAGTTGTGACTTGTTCACACTTTGACTTCAGAAGAAATTCTGATTTGTTGCTTTTTAGTTATGGCAATTTCCAGTAGATTTTCAATTCCCTTGGCAGTAATGAAGAACAATAGTTTTGTCTCACTGTAGTCATTAGGAAATATCGGTTGCTAAATGCTTAGCTACAACAATGACTTACAAACTATAAATGCCTACAGCAGTGACACATTTTTCAGGGTTCTGCACACAGACTGCTTCAGCTGCAACATCAGAGCGTTAGTTCTGCTTTGCATACGAGCACAGACTGCACCAGATCACTGTCAGTCGGAGATGTCTATTTTTCATCTCAGATTTCTCTGGCAGCATGACCCTGGGAACACTTCACTTCCTGGCAACAAATAGCAAAGAACTACCAATTAATTGCATTTGTTTCCTAATACTGTACATTTTAAAAGCATTTCTCCTTTGAAGCATTTGTAAGAGCAGTACAAAAGATGCCTGGCAACCCAAAATTCAGCTGAAGTATTCTAATATGTTTAAGATAACAGGTGCATCATACTACCCTGCAAGTGCAGGTACAGAATTATCTCTACTGTCACCAGAAATTAGTTTCATAATATGAATAGAGATTTGAGCCATGATTCAACAGTACTTCAGCAATTACCAAGCTTATAGAGAACTGCAGGTTATGAAACTGTGCAATGAGATTTGAATTCTTCTAGAAAGCCCCAGCACCAGGGGTGAGAAATACGGTTAACAATCCGCAACAATTTCTGTAACATGTTGGATCACTTAGGGAATTTTACAAAGTGTATCCCAAGGAACCAATTTACAAGGATTAATGTTAAAATATAAGAACACTGAATGAAGGAAAAGCCTCCTGACTGAATTCTCACATCATTTAAGACTTATTTGAATAACCAATTCAAATATGAATCAAGTGACAATTTAACAAAGAGCTGGCTTCAGAAACAGGAACAACTTCAGGAACAACTGGCTTCAGAAACAAGTTAACTTGTGTGTCAACTGAGAAAGAAATCAGTTCTGTTCAAAGTCAACTTCAGGTAATGTTTAAATATATGTTAGACTTTTGAAAATTCTGAATATGACAACAGATGATATTACCCTTTTTTTTTTGAGCTTGCAGGAGAGTGTTCACTTGCAATTTCTCCTTTCTAGTACTACTTTAAAATGATGCTATTGCATTTCTGAATAAATTAATTTGCATTTCTCTAATGTATTATGACCAAACATATTTTAATTAGAAAAAGAGCTACCTAGCTAACTAGCCCATCTACAGCACATTGGTGAGCTGAATATTTTTACTTACTGTTGTGGTTTAACCCGGCCGGTAGCTAAAACAACCACACAGCCTTTCACTCACTGCTGCCCCCCCACCCCCCAGTGGAGTGGGGGAGAGAATTGAAAAAAGTAAAACTCGTGGGTTGAGATAAAAACAGATTACTAGGACAGAAAAGGAAGATGATAATTAATAATAATATTAATAATAATAGAATATACAAAACAAGTAATTCACAGCACAATTGCTCCCCACCCACTGAATGATGCCTAGTTAGTTCCCAAGCCACGGCACCCTCTGGTCAACTCCCCCCAGTTACATATGGAGCATGACATCATATGGTAGGGAATATCCCTTTGGCCAGTTTGGGTCAGCTGTCCTGACTGTGTCCCTTCCCAGCTTCTTGGGCCTCCCCACCTTCTTGTTGCCAGTATCAGAAGCTAAGAAATCCCTGACTGCTTGGCAACAACTAAAACATCAGTGTGTTATCAACATTATTCTCATCCTAAATCCACACCACAGCACTACAGCAGCTGCTAGGAAGAAAATTAACTCTATCCCAGCTGAAACCAGGACACTTGCTTAAGATATGAAAAACAGCCAGAGAGATTGGCCAACTCACGCTAAAATCAAACTCGAGATCAGCTGCAGACCCAGAAACTGCCTAGATCTTTTGTTTCAGTACTTTAAAGTGAAACCACGTTCCTTCTCTCATAGGAGCTTATCATGATGATACACCTCACAGTGCCAGACCGTGTGCAGTAATGAATACCTGTTACAGTGCAGCAACCAGAAACAATACCTACCCATGACAGTCACACAATAGACCATCCCCTTCTGCAAAGTAAACTACCAATATGAGTGAAAATAGAGGCCTCTGAAGATAAAAAAATATGGTACGTGAACAAGTTATTATAAGATACAGTAGGCATGATCTTGCCATAGAATAAATGCGAGCACAGGGACAGCCCACTGCAGAGCACCCCAGGAGCATCTGTTTTACACTCCAGTTTACCTTAGACTATCTTGTCCACCAAGTTGTTTTATGACACTGGAAAAAAAAAATCACTTCATCACTCATCATTCATGATTATTTTCTCTCTCACTTGTTTATTCTGAGAAGAGCTTCAGACAACAACCTGTCTTGGATCTGAAGAGTGCCTAGCAAAATGGAGTCCCTGGATCAAAGTATCTAGGCACCACTGCATAACAAATAAAAGAAACCTTATTGACCTACAGACAATCTAAACTGATCTATGTCGTTACGCTGAAACAATGAAACTACCTATGACAAAAGTTTCAAAAGGAAGTAGGCTAAAGTCCTCTTTCTGTTCCTGTAAGGCAGATTGCATTCCTTGTAATCTAATGTACAGGGGGTAAATTCATTCTTCAGAATCAACCTTTGAAAAGGAAGTCATTAATGTTTATAGATATATTAAAAGGCCCAGCTGTCCTTTTTCAATAACAGAGGTATATACAGAACAAACTCCTGTTTTAGTCAGACCTTTATCACATCCTTATTTCAAAGTGCAGCAGCCATTACACAGTGATGTTCAAACAGTGCTTTGGATTTCTTTGGGTTTACAAAGTGATGTAAGTTAATTTGGAAGACACACACGATTTTTCAATGTGCAGTTCCTAAACTGCTTATGCATACCCTTGTACAGCAAAGTAGGAAAGGCTACCTAAGACTCAAGCTCGGTTTTCTTGGTTATATTTTGTATCCCCTCATAGGTAATCTTAAGTCTCAAGGGGCCTATAGATCCCATATTCAATACCTGAAATCTTAGATAAGAGAGGGACAGACAGTAACTGTGATTCAGTAACACACTGAAAATAAAATAAGCAAATCTAAAGAAACTGTGTTCTAAAATCTCATTTCTACCAACAGCATGGTTTCTATTTGTCAGGGAAGGAACCTCCCCCCACTTCTGAAATGCTCATTATCAATGCACAAGAAACAAATAAACTCAGTAAAATGGGTTAGCATCATTACCACTGCACTAATGTAATAATAAACCAAAACATATTTACTACATATATTTATTTGTGGCATTCACCCATACTGAGAATACAATTACAAATAATACATAGTGAAAGACAACATATTCAAGATACAGAGTATTATTAACAGACATGTACTTATTTAGAGAAGTAAATGTAATTTTGGTAAAGTATGAGTTTATATTTCTCTGTTCATGAACATATTAAATACAATATTCAGAAGAGGAGTATGCCCTAGTTTTGTTGGGTATTTTGTTGTTGTTGTTGGGGGTGGGTTTTTTTGTTTTGTTTTTTTTTAAGAGGCTTTCCTTTTGGCGGCATTGCAGCTGCTAGAAAAGTATTGTTTCATTAACCTCTAACTTAAGAAATTAGATCAAGAATTATTCAGATACAGTTTAGAATGAGGCCCAGGTCAGTGAAGCCCATGTCACAGATCAAAACAAAGACAACAACCCTCTTCACTCAAACCCATAAACAAGAAAGAAAAATATACATGGTAGCAGAACAGAGAGATGTAGTTACTTCTATCAATACTTACTGTAATTTATAATTTTATAAATGTTTGATATAATTTAGCAACAATTTATGAGTGGCTAAGTAAAAAAAAATTATTCATTAGATTTGCAGAATTTATTTTGTTTGGGATTTTCAAGGGAACAGCAACTAAGGGAGTTAGATGTCTAATCAGCATGGAAGGAAAGAATCTGGTTTCTTTGAGAACCTCCAACTTACTATGTAGTTCCCTTCTAGCCTTCACAAAAGAGTATTTAAACTGATTCATATCCCTAGGTTATTTACAAACAAAGGATTTCACAGCTAAGTACAGAATGGGTCAAGATTTCATTTCATACAATTCTCCTAAATATTAACATTTTAAATACTTCTATTCTGCATACTCAGAAAAGAATTCCTAAGCCTGTAAGTGCTGTCTGAAAATGGAAAACAATTCTAGAAAGGAATTCTATTCAATCAAGTCCTCTCCACAAGCATGAAAACAATACAATTATCTGGTTCAGTCTGGTCCTTGTGGAAGGAAGAAAAAGTTATCCTTCGTGATGTATTTCACAAAGACAATGGCCTTACAGAATTATTATATACAGAGCAGAACACCTAAATCACTTTTTAACCACCCTTACAAAGAAAGGTTTGCTTAGTGACATTTCAACAAAAAAGGCAAAAATTTCAGCCTAAGGCTGAAACAGCTTTACTTCCAATGCACAACAAACAGCTTTGTTCTAGAAAAATTTCCTTCAGGCAGGTATTAACAACATCAAATTAATCTGAGGAAGAAACACTACATTAACCTAATAAAGGAGTGATCTATACATTAAAGACATAGTAAAACTTGAACTATTTGTCATTCTTTTTATGAACTAGCAGATATGAAACTATGGGGAGGCACTAAAAGAACTATGAAGTTGAGGCTTATTACTGTCTATATATCAGAATGCATTATTACATTATTCTGATTTCTTGAGGAGGACTTTCTTTTAAAAGAATATTTTTCTTTCAACTGAAGCACACACAAAAAATGCAACAATAGATTTACCTCTCTTCATAGGGAAAATAAGTCAAATTGGTTCTGTACTAGGACATATTTTTCATGCCCAGGAATTTAATATTCATTATGAAAAGCCTTTTCTAATCATACTATTTTATCAACAGAGAGGATTATCTTCACATCTTGCTTGCAAGTCAAGATAAAGCCAGAGGTAGCTTTAGGAATGCTTTCGAATTTAGTGTTTTACTTGAAATGAACTAATCCCTCTTTCAAAGGGGTTAATAATAAGTACAAAAGGCAAACAGTATATACAGCTGCCACTGCCTGCACCAAGAGAATAATTCCAAGAAGCTCAAAATAAGATCAGAACAGGGAAAAGCACAGTGCACAACTTTGCGTTTGCTTCAGTGCACCAATTCAGGCTGGTTTTCTACAAAAGGAAGCACCCCACTAACATAGTACGCTATTCCAAGCGACAGAAGAGCAATGACAATTATCAGGAGCAGCACCCTCCAGAAGCCCAGGTCTTCCACAAACTCTTGCCATGTTGTGCGGAAACTGGAAAGAACTCCTTCACCTTGCTGTAGGTTTGGATTAAGGAGGGAATGGCTTTCCATCGCACTATGAAGGATTAAAGTTAAAAATACATCAGAGCAAAAGAATGCACCTTTAAGTATGACAGTAATCCTACTAAGAGCAACTGAAACGTTCTAAATTAAAAACTAAACCCACCTGCAGATTTATAGCATTGCCTCCACAAAATCAAGACAAAACATATTAGGAAAAGACTCCTAAATCTAAACTTAAGTTAGTTGAAGAGATGTTTTATTAACCTGTGTAAAGAGAATGATATTTGTATCTGTACAACTGCATTGATTTTGCAGGCTTGCCACCTAGAAGCCCTCAAAAGTCAGTTCTCGTAATTCCTACTAAATATGGCTTAGTAAAATCTAAGGCTAAATAAAAGGCTAAAACCTCAAGGGGCACAGGTCTTGTTAATAAAACAACAAATTATGATTTAAAAATAAACTCTGATGAATAAAATGGAAACTTTAACCAATATAATTCTGAACTCTGTAGTGATCTTTACTACTCTCCTGCATGTCTTTGTTACAGAGGCCTCTTCTCCAGCATAAAAATATCACAGAAAACAATAAATTTGGGTAACAAGAACTTCAGAAACTTTTTGATCTTCAAAACAAGTTGGCATTGCTGTGTTTGCTGCCATATGGTGTTCAGCAACTGTTTTGATGTTTTAACATTCCACTACCAATCCATCAGGCCCCCTTAAATTGTCAGATGATAAATTAGGGACTGGAACTCTCACTTTTAAATCAGCAACAAATATAAAATCAGAATGAGGCAGTCATCTCGACAACGAATCGCCTTATAAAAAAAATGTAAGTTGTTTCAAATACTGCATAGCTTCTTGTATCAGCCTCTCAATTTTGCTAGTTTCACAATCGGTTTATAACCGGAAACTTTCTCTGTTGCTGTATGAAAAACCTCACGAAGAACAGGAAAACTTTCTCATCACTTGATTTCACTTATGTAAAATTTTAGCCATCTGCACAGTCCTACTACTATTTCTCACTTGAGTGAAATTACACACACAGGTGTTTACAGGATGAAGCTCTGACAAGCAGGGAACGGAAACGGTGAAACCAACTACGTACACAATGATGTCAATAGCAGAAGGTAAGCATAGAAAATGCATTTTTTTCCCTCCCTTCTAATTGCTTGCAGTTATGATATTCCTAGATATCTCTTACAGCAATAAGAAAACATTTCAGGGAAAAGTAATTTCCAAGTCAAAACTAATTGTAGAAGTGCTATTGTTCTTGGTGACGATAATAAATTGACAAATGATTGTTATCAGAAAAAGGTCTTATTTATGAATCTCTCTTCTAAGATTACACCACGGAAAAAAAAATCACACTATTCACATGGTATTTTTTCTTAGGAAGTACAGCCGCTGAAGAATAATTAGCCTAAACTCCCATAGCTTGCTGAAGTATTGCAGCATCACATGCAGAAGACTTCAGAAATTACCTGTTAAACAGCTTGTATTTTTGTGTTTTAAATATTTACCTTGCTGCAAAGCTATTTTTGCTTGCCCATAACTGCAGGATTTTGTCATCTTCCTTGCTTATTATGATTTCTCAAGCAAAACAAAAGGTTTATTAAAAGACAGCCATTGGTGTAGAACAGAACTGCTCGCTCATTAAGTACTAACAAGTTAATACATAACCACAGCGAGGTTAAATAAAGGTGCAATGCAATTTAAGTGAAAAGATCACGTTTGTTCACTAAATAGAAAAGGGTACATAGAAAACACTTTTGCTATGTTATATTACAACCCAATTAAAATCTTTATTCAAGATATTTTTTCTTATTACGAATTACAGCTGCTTAAGAAATGGCAATGCAGCAATAGAAGAGTTTGTGCCATGTAGCCCCGACAGATGTTCTCTTCCGTTTCCAACACAATGTGGAAACAACACAACTAGTAGGCACAGTCACAGGTCACACTGGGCTGTGTAAGATGGACAGATCATCTGTGCTGAAAAATGGACAGAGCCAGCTCGGCCTCCTGACAGCACAGTGCCGCTCCTCACTGGGAGGAGTGCAACACAAGAGAAAATAAATTTGACTTGCTAACCTAGCTTTAGCCTCTGGTTCCAGAGCACCAGGAACTGTATGTAATAAGGAGCAGAAAACTTAAGTCAGAGACATTTTCAGAAAGAGCAACCATTATTTCTCCATAGGTTCATACATAATGTAAGAGAGTCGGGGGGGGGAGAGGAGAGAAGACATTCATCTAAGCGCCTCTAAAATGTGCGAATAATACTGAGAGGGAGGAATGAAACTGTGGAGGTCTGAAAAGCCAACTGTTAGAAAGACATTATTTATTTACAAAACAAACAGCACACAAGCTAGCTTGCTTTTGCTGCTGTAGGCATCTGTTATTTGTTATTTTAAAAGTAACGTATTTCAGACATTTTAAACATGTTCACAAACAAGCTGGGCAGTGCGCTGTTTATGTCTCTGTGCCTCTCCCCAAGGAGAGTTGCTGACTTCCTTGCCAAAGCAAACAATATAACATTTATGAAGGTCAAATAACAGAAAGGAAGCTATGTTCATTAAAGGGACACTATCAAATCAAAGATCGGAATTTAAATGGGGCTGAGCTGTTGGTCCATATGTTTAAATAAAACCAGCATAAACACATTGCTGTGTGACAAGCAACTTTCAGTAGAATTTAGCTAAGTCAGAACGCTAATATGCACAAATTCTTATAATTTATACCCATGTAATTTTGAGAATAATATTAAATTTTCTATTTCAAGGCTTAAAACAGTCTCTCTGATAAGTGGGATCACCTGATGTATAATAAAGAACTTCCAATCTGCTCAATGGGAGTATTTTGCATTTCTGTAATTTTGTTGGTTTCAATTTTTGTTTACTCAATTTAGATAACAACTCCATCTACACAGTTTAATTTTCATTTACAGTAAAGGTTGTGTACATTTTAACACAAACTGAACAAGAATTATGTGACTAAACTCCCTTTTTTTTGTGATGTAATGTTCCAGCAGTCACAGTTCATGATCATTATTAGACAATCTAAAAAATTACATATTTGAATAAATTCAGTATAAGAGCAAGTATTCCAAACAATGTTGATATCCTGTTTCCAATGTAAATTAAAAACCAAACCAGTACTGGATAGATCTCTTGCATTATTAATACCAATCCCATGTTCTGTCACGTTTACTGGCAAGTCAATGACTTCTGCAAGAGAATTAGCCTCCTTTGAAACTTGCAAAACTTCTTGCCTCATCTAAATCCTACAAGAAGGTTGTCTTGGAAGCTCACTATAAAAAAATCACTCCCAGTTTTCAATCCAAAAAATATTTGTGGTTTATCTGTATCCTTTGGCCCTTGTGCTATCATCTTCTGTTGTCTTAAACTGTTATTTTACATTGTTCAAAACCAGTATTTCTTGTCGGCAACCACACACATCTCAGCCTTCACTCTGCCAGGCTAAAACAAGCTCTAGTTGCCTCCTTTCACAAGGAGATGCTCTGTTCCCTTCATCACTGAAGCAATGCTTCTCCAATTAATCCAAAGGATTAATTACATTTTTTTGAATGGGGCTAAACAGCATTATAAAACGTACTACACAGCAGAAGCTACCGTTGCTTTTTGCAACGGCACTGACAGTTTTCTTTATGTAGTGGAAATATCTCATTTTGCACATTCTAGGAGTTCATTGCCTTTTTCAGGGTAGCACCAACTCCTGGAACCGACTAATAGATCCAGCCTTTTTTCCCAAACCCTTGTTTTCCACTGAGGAACTTCCATTTTATGGCATACAGCTTTAGGTAAATGAAGTTGCACTTTGTGCTGCTGAATCACTATTTATTCCTACTAATTTCCTCTCCCTTGTCATCCCAGGTTTTTGTCTATGCCATTCCAATTTTCCTCTGGGTTGTCTCTATCTCACTTTGTAGTATCACTAACATGCTACTCCTTTCTATGCCAGTATCATTTATGAAAATTGTAAGCAAGCACAGTCTCAGAACCAGCCCTTTAGGAATTTGTTAGTAACTTCCATCTAACCCAATAATTACCCTGAAACTGCCTGTAATTTTCCTGAAATCTTCCGTTCTCCTTTAGCTATCTCTTTAGCCACCATAAAATTCTTATTTAATTCTTGATTTTTTCCAGGACTACTACCGATAGAAATTTCATACATGGCACCATATCAAATCCTTTATTCAAGTTCAGACAGATGAAAAGTCTGCTATCTCCTCTTTCCACAGACAATCGATCTTATCAAAAGGATGCTAGGTTAGCCTGTGGTACTGGCATTTTGCATTTCACCCCATTTTCCCTTTGGCTTTATGATAAGGGGTAGAATATTTCTTTTTGGGAGGCTGTAATGGAAAATGAGTAATTATTTTTTAAAATTTCCACCATAAAATGAAAATCTCAATAGAAAAAGTTCTTTTTTTTTCCTTACATTTTATCTGTTTAAAGATATTTTTCCAAAATTTAAAATTTTATTTTGATTTGGTCTGATAATACCAGGCTAAATTTGATATTACCTGTTTTGAGGAACAAACAAGTCAATCACAAAAATCTAAAAGCCATAAACATTATTTCTCCTAGTAATTATTTTTGTTTTGTAAGTACCTTTCGCTTTCAGCAGTTTGCATCGTTTCCAGCTTTGAGTGAGCTCCTCTGTTAAATCCTTTCACCTCTTGCTCCTCTAAAGATTCCAGCAGTCTAATCACATCTTTATTCACACCCCTTCGTTTTGCAAGAACAAGCGGTGTTGCACCTTGGTGATTGCTAAAATAACCCCAAAAAAGGACATGAGAAGAAAAGAAACTTTTAATGTAGAAATTTTGTGACAAGACAACTCAGCATAATGCATTACAATTTAGTAAGTCCTCAGAATTATATTCTGTCATATCAGACAGTAAGAAAATCTATACAACTTACAGCATAATTGACTATAGAAGAAAATCAGTATAGTTAGGTTTTATATTGCACAACTCTTTTTCCTCTAAATACAATGAAAATTCCTAGTACTCTAATTTAATTGGAATCTCTGGGTGTTATAACAAAGAAACTCCAAACAGTAGATTTATGGCAATGTTCAAGATTAAGCTTAATTTCAAGAAAGAATTGTGCAATCTGGTTCCTCATAGTTCCTTCTTCCATGTGAGTATTAGGACATCAGGCAAAAATGAAATAAAATACAGATGGTCTCTCTGCTACTATTAAAATAATACTGAGTAAGACCAGAGCTGCCTTCAGACTAGGGATTTTCACCAGAGTTGAAAAAAACCCCAACCCACAACCCATAAAGAATGTGGTCTACCAATAACTAGTTTTGCTGAGTTGAAAACATTGATGAGGGACAGGTGAAAAAGGAACAGATTAAAAAACTCAAAGGTTTTGAAGTTACTACTGGTTTTTGCATGCATTGTGAATATGCAGAAAGTTGCACAAACAAAATAATTCAGTTACTGCGATGAAACAGCTAGTTATTTTGCAGCTTGAGAGCTTACATCTGAGCACTGGCATCTGACAGATGCTGGAAGCCAGAAGGAAAGAATATACAATATTTAAAAGAAGGACTGAGTCACTGACTTTGAGGGAGGGCGAAAACACTGAAAGGAAGCATTGTTACCAAAGGAGTATGGGAATGAACTGACACACAGATATACTGTATTTTCTTTGTCTTACACAGAACAACAATTAAAACAATAGCATTGTGGTGGAGAAAATTCTTTTAAAGTAGTCAATGTGATTTTTTCTTTGGTGCCAACCACCCACACCTGGCTGTCTGGCCAAACCAGGATAGCAATGCCATCAGCGAGGCAGAATTAGAATCAGCAGCTGCTATTTTTATTTGCTTTGCTTGTTGCACAGACTAGCAGAAGTGGCCTCTATTGTTTTCCTGCCTTCTTATTTTGTGTTTTTATTAAGCAATATGTTAAAAAATTGCGCCAAATATAGCATTTCAGCAACAACAGATTTATATGCAAGGCTCTGGCAACACAAGACTAATGTATCATATAATACGTGCTGTAAAAAAAAAAAGTGACTTACCAAATATCAATTTTAAGTCCATTAGAAACTAGGAACTGGATGGTATCCACATGCCCACACAGATGAAGGGCTGTGTTACCTTGATAATCAGTGGCTAGTAGGTCAGCACCAAATTTATGCAAGAGTTGACAGATGTCTACATTTCCTCTGGCTGCAGCAAGGTGAAGGCCAGTTCGGCCTCGACTGTCACGAATGTTTGGGTCGAAACCACTCTCTAACAGTCGTTTGGAATAGTTAAAATCTCCATCAATACAAGCCTGCAGCAGCGGCACATTTGTCTGGGAAGAGTCGTTTACAAAAACGTAGGACATTGTTCTGATTCTCTCCGGAGTAGTGACTATCCTGCAAGTAAACATGGGAAGAAATGATGGTGAAACCAGGCAAATAAACACAATGCAAATACTTGGCAGACTGCTCAGCTTCCCAAACAAGAAGGCAAACTAACTTATAAACCAACTCTGAAATCTTCCTGTCCTACATAGTAACTTTGTGTGCTGTGTTCCGTTCTGGTAATACGGAAAGAGCTCCTTCTAGTCTTACTCACACCTCTGGAAACAGCAGCAAAGCTTTGTTATTACAGGAAACTGGTAAGATGAATGCCACGAATGAAAGACAGGTGATTAGCTTTCACCTAGTAAGAGATCACATGTAGTAGCATTGATATTAAAGGGCAAAACACTGGTACATCAGAACTGCAAGGGAGAAGAACCACCTTCCATAAATTGGGAAACGATAAACAATTCAGTTAACAGATATACTGATGCTAACTGCAATTCTTCCTAGCTATAAGCAAAGCTACTCCAGTGGGATTTCCACCATCTGAATTTGAATTTTGATGCACAAAGTACAGTCAGTTGCTGAAAATGCTTGATTATTACAAATACTAATTCCTTCAATCTGCAAGAAATATATTTTTCAATACTCTTTGCAGAACATTATTTTTATAGTGCCACAGATACACAAACTACTGAAAAAACAAGAACAACAATACAGACCACAGAAAACAGAGGTATTGTGTGAAAATGCCCACCTGAAAGTGAAAATTGGAAGTGGGTACAAGGAGAACAAATGCTATTGTGGGTTCAACTAGAACCCCAATATAGAGAAGCACAAATGCAATTTATCTGGCTTAACAGTAAATAAAGGATTAAGTCCTTTTCTGTAGCAGGACCTGAAAGAGGAAGAGAAATGTAGTTTCACCATGGATTTTTTTGATATAGAATATTTCATGAACTACGATTTAAGTTTTGCAGAAGAGTATTTTAAGGATGAGTCAAATAATGGGGGTATGATGACACTGCTTACAGCACAAAGAAACAATGACTTGAAAACAAGAAGAAAAAAGAGAACAACTATGCACGATGATGGTGAAACGTGCACAAAGCAATGGTAAAAAGAAATTAAAACTTCTAGGAGACTGGACAGCAAAGCTTTGCAATGCCCCAGAAAAGAGGCAAAAAAGGAAAAAAAAATCATATAAACCAGTAAAAACCCTTAGAAGAAATGTCAATACAGATATGAAACAGTTCAAGTGACAGGAAGGAAAAGTGACTTTACTAGATAAGCTTTGAATGGAAACAGAACTGAAACTTCACTTGAAACAGTTTATTTCACTTGCCCAGGGTCTGTGTTTTGGACTCATGATGTAGCAGTCTGCTGATTAACTATCTGAACCTCTTACTAAGACTGCTATAAGCAGATTTAAATTTTCTCATCTATATAAGGTATCCTTCCACACCAGTGCACTCATTCAGTTGGGAGAATGGAAACATGGCCAGTAGCCAAAGAATTCGATTAAAAACCTCATTTTTTTGAGAGTTTATGTCTATATTTTATAGCTCTTCCCCCATGTTTTAGATCAAATTCAAGATCAAAGCACCTACAGAAGTAATTTCAAAATGTTTACACACTGGTCTGATTAACAGCTGTAGCATTTGGGGCTGTTGAGGTTCATAAATCATATTTAGACTTCCCTAGATTGTATTTCCTATCTGGACAAATTCTGCTATATGTATCAACACTGTCTAATTTCCCAGTACAGGAATGCACTACTTTTTTTTCTTTCTGGAACACAGAAGAGAAAGAGATAGGAATAACTTCTGTGTTTTGGTATCTGTATAAGGAATGATTTTAAGCAGAGTACATTCCCCTAGGCTGCAAGTATGTTTTTAAACACGTGACGTGGCTCAAGCACCCTTTTCCACAATCACCTCCCATAGCAAAGGGCCAGTTCACTGACATACCATAAAACTTGCCAGACTGGTGTCATTTAGGGCAATAACAGCTTTCTTATAACCCTACACAAAAAGAAAGGACAATGTACTGACTAGTATTTCCACTGAACATGTTACAAAACCCCTGGATGTTGCAAAGCGTGGATTCCCAGCTGACAGCAATTTCAATTTTCTTGCCCGTTTCCCACCCAAATCATAAATGATGGAATTCTTCTTCAGTTCTCCTAGTTCAATCTTTGCTGAGAAAAACATTGGGCCCGGCTTCTGTATGATGTGATTGTGACCTTTAAATTCTGCACTAAATCTTCCCTAAAGCAAGACCATAAATCATTTAAAAACCTCCAATTATCAGCCATAGTAATGGCATATCAACAGCACCAACCCCTACTTGTACTTGATAAAAGGATCGTGGTTCACTTGTAAAATAATATTTGAGTGTTAAAACCTGTTTAATAAAACAAGGCCTAACATAAATCAACAACAGAATATTATACTGGAAGAGAACTATGCTATTTGAGAAACAGTATGGCATGCTCTGTTAAATGTAAGCTAATGTTTATGTTTTCATACCAGATGTGTATGTCTGGTAAAGCCTTACAGAATTCCCCCTCACTTTACATACAACTCTGATGAAACATTAGCTAATAATACCAGAAAAAAACCCGTCACCACCTTATCTCTTTAGGAAAGGAAGCACAAAGATTAGCAGTTATCAGAAAGTGTAACTGGAAGTAATTCTGATTCAGAATTTATTAGCACTAGAATCTTTCAGAATTGATCACTGAAGTGTAGAAGACTAAAGCAAAACCTTAGTATTTCACAGTAAGAAAGACAAAACCCCAACAAATCCTCCTTTCCAATGCTTGAAAACTGTGGACTAAGCAAATGCATTCACAAAAGAAAAAAATAAAAAAATCTGGACCATCTGGTTTGATTTATCTCTGTGATTAAAAAGATTTTTTCTACAAACACAGTTCTGTTACACATATGGCTACCTAACCTATGCCAGATACAAGATGCATACAAAGCTGAACTATACACCATCTTTAAAATGCCAGTCCCCAAATGATACGTTCTTGCCTCAAATTTAACCCAATTTAGCAAAATTTCCTGTCTAAAAAAACTCAGAAAAAAATTACAATGGTCAACTTAATTAGATATTTTTGAATAAACAAACAGTGGTTACATTTCTCTACACAGTATGTATCAAAAAGCTTATTGCTATAATGAATATCTAACGCAGTGGATTTAGAAACAAAATTCCAAAGCATTATCCATTCTCTTTAAATTGCTTTTCAAAGGTGAATCAGATAACATCTCTGAACTTGCCTAAAAGCTAGTACGCCTACCATTAAGCACCAACGTCACAGGCACAAATGAAGACAAACAGACTTGCATTAATAACAAGACACAAAAGTATTACAAAATGAGCATTCTGAATATCCCTATAAATTACTACTACTGGAGTTAAAGAAATCTAATTTGGTTCAGTAAATGACTGCTTCTAAAAATGCATCACTATCTACTGAAAATGTATCTTTTAAATTATACTTCTGTTTAAAAAAATAATTGCTGTTAATAACTTGGTACTTTGATAGAAAATTAGTTTGGGGAAAAAAAAGTAAATTCAAGGATGTCCTCCCAAGCAAGGATTTCCATTAGAAAGGCATAATATAAGAATACATTGTCTCTAAATTTATGCAATGTGGATACAGCCTGAGCACAGTTTACTTTATTAATAAATTTTAGAAATGATGCTGTAAGCCACTTCTTCAATGACACATGTAGGCTAGTACAGGATAAGAAAATCTAATTGACCTGTTTTCAAAAGGAATGCTTATATTAAATAATTCTGTAAGAATAATTTACTTTTATGTATTAGAAGACAGTTGTCTCTCACTGAACTGCGTACAACGGTAACTCAGTGTGACAGGCTGATCTGTTGTGTAACACTTTCACACTTGCACAAGCCAGGAGTGATGTCAAATATTCAAACCATAGAGTTAGACTGTGAGACAGAATCACTAATGGGACCAGTCTTTCCACTACAAAAATATTAATGTATCTGACAAATTGCATTAATGACCCAGTCACTGCTACATAAGATATACCAGTTCTGCAAAACTACATTTCCAAGAACATTCAGAAAAACAGAAGTAACTGCCCCTATTTTAAAACAACACAGCAGGACACCACCACAACATCAGATTGCTCAGTACTTGAGACATCTCAATATTAATGTCCATGTTGACATCTAGAACCTAAGTATCAGCAAACTAGAGCAACTGCCACCACAAGAAATGGAAACGAAAACAAAACCAAGAAAAAGTAACATCCCGCACCAGCAAACCACACAACGTGTTACTTGCAAAATCTACACTTGCCGACTCCCTCATGGCAAACAGCTTCCTCTTTCTGTAATACACTTTGAGAGTACTTCAGTGGCAGCGGCTTGCAGAGCTCTTCCTCTTCAGTCTTTAAATGAATGAAAAATATTCCAGTACTTTGCTTAAATTGTAAGCCCATGATCTCTGAAGGCAAACTTTCCTGGTCAAATGGGATTGTTCCCTTAAAAACACTCTCTTTGGATATACAAGATAAAGTTTTTAAAAAAGGTGTAATTTAATAACTGAAAATCCAAACCAAAACCACATTACCTTGCTTATGTATCCTCTGAACACTGACTGTATGTGGAAATGTAAACCCAACAATATTATTCTCTTTCACTTGCTACGTAGCCTGTGGGAGAAATTCCTTCCTGAGTTTTCATGCACACTTATATTTATGTGTGAGTTACTGAGAAGTCATTTACCTGAATAAGTGTTGTAGTTAGTAAAAAATCATCATCAATTGTCATTTCTGTTTAGGAAAGAACCCCATTATCTACATCAAGTTCCAATGAGAGCTCTGTATCTTCCATTAAAAACCTTTATCTATTCAATCCAGCTGGAACAGTGTTTTATTGCTCCACTAACACGGACATCTTGGATTCAGTACAGCATGATGTCTGTTTTACACACAGTTGTATTTTGCAGCATTTTCCCTTCCTAATTTTAATTATTTTTTCAACAGTTCCTGGATTCAAGGTATCATAGCAGGTTATCAC